GATGTTCAGTTTGAATGGCCTAGATTAGGGTATTAAGTACATGAAATTTGTGAGTATATGAGAAAACAGCAGAGTAATAGATTTGCCTGGAAATTTTTCCGCATTGATTGCAGCAGTATTACTAATCCTGAATCAACCCAAATGTACAGAACTGAATAAGTATTAGAGCTGTCCAATAAGATTTGATGAATGCACTATTCCATTAATTTTACCTTTTTTGTTGAATAAATTATTTGACAAATAATGGTAAAATTCATCAAATAAATTATCTGATGAATATATTTTTTAAGTAATCGGCTAGGTCTAATGAATATGCAGGCAGTTCCTTAATGAAAAGCATTACTCTACTGTTAGCCGGCTTTCATCACTCATATGTCACTTTTTTTTTTGTACTGTGCAACTGCAATCTGTATATATTATTCATTCACCCATTCATTTATACATGGGAAGTTCAAAACAGTATGGTTAATCAATCACTGCAATTCTTAGAATATTTTTGCTTTACAGTTGGTTATTCATTACATTCCCATACAGGAATGCTTAACAAAAAGAACCCGGCTTTTCTAAGGACAGCTCTCCCAAGAGCTATTTTTGGCTTGTGTGTTCCATGTCAAGTTTGCAAGAATGCTCTGCAAATTGCAGGGTCCATTTATAAGCCATTTTTGTAGTTGCAAACACTACAATTACCAATTGTTTCAAGAAACTGGAGCCTGAATCCAAGCCAGACTCCTTCAAGGTCCCTGGAAACACGTATTAGAGGAGTAAAACAAGGAAGAGCATACAGTAGCAATCTCCTCATTGTACAGCACTAGGATGTTTGGATAGAAGCCACAGGCAGGATTATTTGGATGGTGCGCAATTTTGGAAATGTTCCAGTGTCAAAGAGCAAGTCTATATTTTGTTATTACAGAGGTGGGCTCAATAAATGGCACTGATAGATTTACACTGTTGAAAGACAATTTGCACCTGTTAATGTTACAACGTGTCACACTTCCAAGGCCTGGTTCCTCACAGAGGTATACCATTTCATAGTGGCAGTGTCAGTGGGTAGAATAGTCAAGCCTACATATCTATCAGTACTGTAAAGGTGCAAATCATGTTTTTCTGGTCTCCTTTGAACTTGCTCCACAAAGCTCAACTAAACAGACTTAATAAGTGAAGGCCCTGGGAAAGAGGTGTATTAAAGGATCCTCTATAGCTGCACTTGAAATAGCAGTGATTCTCCTCTGAATTTTCCTTTCACTGACTTGTAGACTTTGGGTAAATACAGTGTCAATAGTCTTTTCTTGACCTTTCCAAGTAGTGTCACTTTTACAGCCAAATGGGCATCTACTATATATGCCCTGTATGTGTCCTCCACAGCAGGTATGAGTGAAGGGACTTATCCTGTGCCCACTGAACTCAGAAGACAAAGTCCCCACTAACTTCAGCAATGCAGAATAAAGCCTTTACATAGGTCTGCTCCCTCTGCACACAGAGCTGCTTGCCATGTCAGAAGTGTGGGGGGCCTGCCAGAAGGCCTGCGCAAGGGGAAGGAGTTGTTCCTCAGCTAACTTCACATGCTCATCAAAACTGCAACTGCATTACCCTGCACACAGATGGTTATTTCCATTCCACACGCTTGCTATTACAGAGAGATTATTATTGTAAGAGTGTATTACAAAAGAAAAGAAAATGTTCTAGGGATTTTTTTCCATTTTCATACCTTTTATCTCTGGAGCTTATATTCGTATTTGCTTCAATCAGGCATGGGTTGTGGTATGTGTGAATGTCCCTCAAAGCCAGTGCTAAACACACTTTTCTATTAAAAAGTTTAAATACTTGTTATAAATAATTTCTCCACACTTGTATGCTTTGATCTAATCTACTGCATAGTTTTAGCAAAAATGGTTGTGGTTCTAAAGATTACAAGTATTAGGAGGGAGAAATAAGTTGTGGAAATTATCTTCAACTTGCAGCTTGCTTTACAAAGGTTTAAAATGACTTTTTTTTGCTAACTCAATCTAAAGAGCTTCTAACCCACTCTTTTTCATGTACAGTCACCAATCTAATAATAATAATAATTTTAGATGGAATCAATAAGGCCACTGCTTTACCCTTAAGAATTCTAATAGAACCTTAATATTAATAAGCAAACACCTTCAGAAGTAGTGTTACTCCTTAGGCAACCAGAAAACTTAGTTTGTACTCCTGATAAACACTTGAGCTCCTTATGCGTCACTATTATTACTGCAGATTTAAAGCCCAAGGATGTGTTTGAAAAATGTGCCTAGAGGCAGAGAATCCACTGGTACAGAACCTGTTCTGTTCTTAATCATTTACATGTTGTCTCAAAGGCATATTACCATATAATCCAAACCACAAGTCTCCCAGGGCCCCATTCACAAGAACTGAAAGCACCATTTGGATACATGGGCTTTTATGCTGACAGTGAATTTAATGCTTTTGTGCAAGAATCAGATTTGTGGTGAGCTGCTCTCCAGAGATTTGGTAACCAAACTCTCCAGGCTGTCTTGGAAAACCTGCAAGCTCAATGCATTTGTACATGAAGCTCAGGATTAAAGGCAAGCTTGAAGCTGCCTGGGTTTGTAGTTTAGTATATGAGGGCTCGATTCTCTGGTTATCTCAGAGCAAAAATAACGCTTCCTTTCCAGAGTACCTAATTAGGTTAATTTTTTGCTTCAGTTAGCTATGTGTAGGAAAGGAATCTTGGAAGAGATAGGTTTCTGTAATTAAAAAGTCTTCCTGATGAGCACTGCTTTAGAAAGAGATTAAAATTTGTTATATTGCTCATCTAATACACTAAATAGGCAGGCTGGACAATGGAAATAGAATTAATGCCTCCAGTATGCCTTCTGCAGAGCAGACATTTAGCACCAACTTCATCTTCTAAAGGCAATACCTATTTTCATGAGGTTTGCCATATTTTCCTTGGACAATAATCTGGACACAGTGTGAGCAAATTAACTAGCTCCCTGCACCCTTTGAAAACTTCCCTCTTGCATTTCACACCTCAGTTTGCTATCACCCATCAGAACAAACAGCCCACAATCTCAGAAAATCACACAGCAGCCTAACCAGCTCACTGAAAGCAGAGCACATTTCCTCCTGCGTGTAGTAGTGCCTGTATGCCCGATTATGAGGAGACAATGATCGATGTATGAGAATATACTGAAAATGAATGATCACAAAATACTTTTATAATAAAAAAATATATAGCAAAACAACTACAGGGCTATTTCCTGTCCTGCTACAGCCACACTGTGTGGCTTCACTTAGACAAAGGAGCTAGAAAGTAGAAGGAACTGGCTGTCTGTTACTCTTTTCCATAGGAGGAATTCCTTGGTGTACAGGGCCTGTATCAACTTACATCACCTCTCCTTCTTCTTTTAATTCTAGGAGATTGCCTGCTGGAGGATGTGGAGTGCTCAAAGAATATGGGGCTCAGAGCCTGGCTTGTAGGATGTGCCTTTGCGGCCCACTAGACATATATCAAAGCCAGTGCAGACCTGTTCTGCTTTTGTACTGTCTGCCTGAGATCCTGCATCAAGCACAACTCAGCTGGACCTGAAAACAAGGTTACAGATGCATATATTGTGGCCATTTTGTATATTTTGATAACAGAGCTTTCTTATACTAACAGTGCAGTGATGCATTTCACCTGAAGGCAGATGAGGTATAGGGAAAATAAAATCCAAAAAATCCCAACCCTACAGGTTGCCTTCATGGCAAGACAGGGTGCAAAGAGGAAAAAGGAAATCTGCAACATAAGCCCAAGAATTCTATGAATTTTCCAGTAAAGAATTGTCTTTCCCCATTATTTACTGTCACTGCAGTAGCCTGTCAGCTGAAAAGCCCATCTGACCCTAGGACTGCTGGCCAGGGAGCTGGTGGAGGTGGCAGAGGCTTGACTCTGCTGTGCTGAGGTGGTGAGGCATCGAGCTGTGGCTGCTCCCAGCCTGTCCCCAATCTACAGTAGGACCCTGGCATAGAACTGGACCAAAATTATACCTGATACATTCATCTTTGAAATGGCTAATGCACTCAAATTAAACTGTTTTGTTGTCACTTGCCTGCATTAGGCACTGCCACTTTTTCCTATTAGAAATCCTCACATTTATCACCAAATAGCTAAAAAAGCAACAAAGGTTTATAACAGACTTAACTGGAGATGTCACAGGGCCTCACCATTGTACCTTCTTCTACTATTAGCTCCCTCTATTGCCAGATCACTGTCAACCTAGTCATACACAATAACGTCCATTACAGTTTGAATGGTTCGTTAAACTTTATAGCACTTAGAAAAGCTCCTGAGGCACCAACAATGTCTTGATTTAGAATGGAACATATAATACCTGCCAAATTTGCAGGTTTGAAACCACTTCCAATAAGAATTAAAAAGGCTCTCTTCACAGCTAAAATAGGGCTATCAATACTTGACTTGTCTGCCCATGTGAAATAGCGGGTTCTTTTCTCTGACGTCGCAATTTAGTTTAAAATAGCTTTGATGATGACAGGGTACACACAGATGATAAAACCATAAAGATGACAGTCTAATCTTACAAAGATGACCGATCACTGATAAGAGATTAAGTCACACAACATTTGAAAAACCAGATTATCTATCTGCTGGGATAGTATCTGTATACACCTCCTGCTGAGCCATGCTGAGATGCCAATGACATATGAAGATGCTACTTCTTAAAAACTAAAAATGCTTCACAAAATCTCTCAAATCATGGGGTTAAAAGAAAGCAAGTAAGTAAGAAAAAAGCTCTGATCTGACTTAGGTTTTTTTGTCAAGTGTTCGTTTTTCAGACTAGTGAAGTATTTAGATGTACAGCATATAAATAATTTAGAGACACTATAAAAGGGTCTAAATTAGCCAATTCTGCCCTATAATTAGCACTCACAGCTATGCTGGCAATGGGTGGGTGATTATTAAACACCTTTTATTATCGGTTTTATGTACTACAATAAAAAAGGAAAATTATACTTACAAGAATTATTAGACATGCTGGTCCTATAAAACTCCATATAAAGTTATTCTTTGTGCTGAGCCAACATCTGAAAAGTAAACAGCACAAAATGTCTTGAAATGCGCTAGACTACTGTGACTGTTGCATCCTTATATATGCCCCTGATTTGGACACAGAAACAACAACTTACACTTCTGTAGTGCCGTAATACTTGTATCCTAGTGCGGCAGAGATTCCAACTACCACAGCTGGACTGACGTAGCCAAAGACATAGAAGTTCTTGTGTAAGAATCCCTTGTTGTAGATGACTCCCACAACTATCAGGTAGAGGTGAATGCCTTCAATGCACATCCATGCAAAAGCAGCTAGAAGGAAATAATGGAGTAACCCAGCAGTGATTGAACAGAAGAGCTAGAAAGTTAATCAGAGAAAGCAAGAGTCATAATTCTATTAATATGTCTCTATTAATATTACAGCATATGCACAGCAATCTAACGATGATAAAGCGGTGGCCCAACAACCCAGATCTAAGCCTAGCTGACAAGAATTCAGCCTATACATATAAGTACCCTTGTTCCTTAATGTTTTCTGTAGCAACTGGTAAAACAAAGAGACTACATTCAACTTTTAAAATCAGGACACATGCTGGTGCATGCCTTCCCAGAAAAACTGCACAAATAAATTGACAGCGTTGATCCCACAGTTACAGCTGAGTAGCCTGTGTGCTTTGCTGACTTGGACAAAGTGTATTTTTATGATTTTCATAACAACATGAAATGGCAGAGCAAGCAATTATTTCTAAAAGAACTTTTTTACTACAAAATATTTGTAAAATTATATTCCTCAGTTAATCAATACTGGAGTGCTGTCTCAGGGAATGCAGCTCATATTTTTCAAGTAATTTAAAATCCTATTCAGCCCTTTATAGTAGGGTTTTTTTTTTAATAATCTATGCATAATTTAATTTCCTAAAACTAATCTGAAACATAATAATAGGTAAATATTTCACATTTCTGTATTATATTTCACCACAAAAGGAGCAGATTTTTCATAAACACTGATTAATGAATTTTTCTCACAACAGTTAGAGGTATAAAGAGATTGCTTGGATTTAGCCAAATTTGGTGAAGTACACAGGAATGTTAACTGGTACTTTAGGGCAAAAGTGAAGAATGCCATGCACATCTGAAACGGGAGGTACAATTTAGTTAGTCAGAATGCATCTCAGTGGACTATAATCTTCCTGAGATACAAGAATCAACGGTCCTTCTTGTATAAAAAGTGACAGGGAGAGAGCAAGACCTCAGATTTGCAACTGAAAGATCTTCCAGCCCATAGTCTAATGTTTGGTTTTTAAAGAAATCCTCATCCACAGAGCCACCAGCATCGCTTTCTGCAGCATGCAAATATGAGAAGTGAAAATGTCAAACACATCGAGACAACAGTCTCAGTTAAAGTGACAAAGCTCAAGTGAAATCAATGGAACAGAGTCAATTTAGATCAGATAAAAAGATGGTCCCACTTTTCTAAATATGGCAAGCTCAGACACCATTTTATGTTTCCCATTACCAGAGACTAGGAAGTCAATGTGACTAGAATAATCATACTGACTGCAGATAGATGGAACATGGCATCTTACACTGTCTGTTTACTTTACAACACAAAATCAAGAGGCAACAAGTAAAAACTACCCACCTTATTATTGTTCATATTAATTCCAACCAGAAAAATAAATTCTGCCAGGAAAAGGCTGCAGCAGAGGTTTTTGTGAATTGTCGTTCTAGTGCTTTGAATTTCACTGAAGAACCAGAATGTGAAAATGCACATGGAGAGGCAAATCAACGAAATAATTATTCCTAGCTGAGTGATTCTTGTAAGAATGTTGTAATTTGTAACACCCTGGGGGAAAATTATAATATAATATTTAAAAGAATAGCTCTGAACCTTCTCAAGAAAGACTTCATTTTATAATACAGTTCTTTTCTTCTTTTGTAGAACATATTAATCACAACTGTTTGTAGAGTTTCAGTGCAAATGTACACTTTGGATAATCTAAAAAGTATTGTTTTTTGTGAGGCAGATATAATTCTAGGGGAAATTAGTAATGAACTGTATACATTACTGCTCCTGTATTTTGTGATGTGTTATTTCTTAGCAAACCTTTGTATTAAGATTAATATCTCCTAATATGAGCTTAAAAATCAGATCATTTTAGTGAATGAAAAATACAGTGTCAGTAGGACATATATTAATACGACATGAACATTTTCTAATATAAAAGGACGTATCACAGCACTGACTTAGATAAGCTAAACTGAATAACCGTCTTACTGAATTTGCAACATGATCAAAACAAGACACTGAAATACCAATCCCTTCAAACAAATGCTAGTTCCAGATATGTAACATGAACATTCTTTAAAAAACACAGGCTATTTTTAATGACTGGGTATATGACTGGGTGTGCATATTTTCTGTGTAGGAACACAGTTTCATTTGCTACTTGGTATTCTCAGAAAGAATCTCTGAAATATGTGACTACACATCAGCATAAGGGCAGGATTCAGCGGATCATTAAGTGTATCTAAGTATTTTTTCCAAAAAAAGGACCAGAGATTATCTTGCTCCCCTCCTCCCTTTTAAAAATAACTACATAAATACCTCCAAAGGTCTTAAATTTGGACTGAAGACTTAGGATGCTATTTGGCAACCGGGAAACAGCCTCTATCAGCATGAAATTCACAGTGTGGGAGAACTGTCTCAATACGGTATATTCATGCTAATATTCTGCTTGCTGTCAATTCTGATACCTTAAAAAGCTGCCTCCTGAGGCAGGATCCCAGCTCCCGCTGGTCCCCACATAGATCCTGGAAATCTATGGGGCCTCTTAATATAGGAAAGACATAAACTGAGCAGTTATTTTCACAATTTGGTGGTGGTCGTGAGGGTCCATGCTTTAATGATCACAAACTCCATTCTGCTTACTGTTGCTATATGCTCTTCTGATACTGCTAGTGTAGACTCTCAGGAGAGAATTTAAGGGGATTTTTAGATGCCAAGGTAAGACAAATGGGTGACAAAGTTTTGTGAGAGAAATATTCTGGGCCATATGGTTGCTGACCACCAGCAAATGCCAATTAAATCCCACGGTAGTCTTAAAGTGGGATTTAAAATTAAAAGCAATGCACCAAAAATAAGCACAACAGACTGTGTATTTGGAACAAGATCCTTTGCTGCATCACTGCTCTGTAATACTGCAGAAAGGACATAAGGAAATTCAAACACATATGGGAGGAATTTTGTTTGCCCTGTGCACAATAAATTGTGTGTTTGCTGAACAAGAAAAAAAGACACAGCCTACACAGGGGAAAGTGATTGCACTGAAGTCAGTTGCACTGAAATAAAAGCATAGCCAATGAAGACGGAAGAAAGTATTAGGAAAAACACTAAATTAAAATAGGACTTACAACAGAGCCACCTGAGGACATCAAAACAGCAAAATGAGTCAGATGATTGCATTTGCATGAGGTGTGAGTGGCGTTGGAATGTGTCAGCTCACAGCCTTCTGTAGCCCAGTTGCCATTCATTGTGTCTGCTGAGTAGTTCCAAAACGCACATTTAATATCTTTATCTGCAGTCTGGAACAGAAACAAGATGTTTTACTGATGGCAAAAGGCAGGATATTTCCCATCTAGAGACCTTTCTTACACTAGCCAGAACAATTCATTTAAAATTGCATATTTCCATTGGAACATTGAGAAACAAAAAGCGCATTCTGCAAGGCCTATTCCAAGCAATTAAAACATGGCTCAGGATTGAAAACTTTATTCACACAGCTAACATCCAACCGAACATGCAGGCTAATCGGATTACTGAACCCTTTTGGCACTCACAAAAGTTGGAATTTTTTAGCTACTGAAAACATTGTTACATATACTCATGCACCTGCTAAAAATGGACTAAACCCCAAGGTTACAGCCACATTGCCTACCCTGTTCATAGTCCCTTCCAACTGAATGCTTCAAAAATTAAGACTGATCCTGTGCATTTTATGAAGTAATCTGGGAGAAAGCCAGGGTCATATCACACCTGGTATATCAGGTGTGATGAGCACAAAGAATAAGACCACGAACATTATTTATTACTGACAGTGCTTACAAATATTAGTCAGAGATCAGGTCCCTGCCGTATTAGATGTTGTATAAATATATGCAAATATAGATAAAGGTGATCTCTATCTCAAACATTACAAGATGTGGCAAATTTAAGAGCTGGATGACCAAGGTTAACACATTCCCCAATGTCCCACTGCCCACCTCCTTTCACAGAATCACTTTGTTGATGTTGCAGGTCAGGTCTTTGTGCCATATAACATGGTTCTTCACAGGCAAGTGAAGCCGAGAAAATCTATGTACCCTGGAAGCAAAACTCTCAGTTTTAAAGTAATGTGTACAAATTTCAGAAATAACAAAGCTGTTATACTGTAGGTTCTGTTATTACTTTTTTGCTGCAGACATTGCATAGCTTGAAACGTTTCTTCATCCTTTTAGGTATGCAGTTTTAACTATCTGATAGAGTATTTGAAAACCCATCTAAATACCAAATGGTCAGGACTCTGTAATATTCTCTGATTCAAGTAAAATTTTACTCATACTGCAACCCAGTGAAGACATAATTGTTGCCCTTCCTTTACTCTGGTAGCACTTTTCAGCAGTATCGTATTTAGTACTGCACTTATGGTACCACATTTGACATTATCATTTTTTTCTATAATTGGATTAAACTCACATCAGCAAACAATAGAACTCTGTCTCAACATATCATACACTGCAGGTATGGTTACATCACATAAAATAATTAGCCATTGTTTTCCTTTTATTTGAGGTTGATAATAATAATTAAAAAAAACCTTACCTTGGCATACTTTAAGGTAAATGTTATTTTCTCAAGCTCATAGAGCGTAGGTGGATTTGAGCTAATTGCAACAGCTATAACTGATGAGCTCACTGTCTGTCTCTGTTCCGAACTATCTTTCGAGGAGCCGTTTTTTGGTGATGAAAGCAGAGAACCGATGTTGCTATACCGCAGAAAGACAACTGCAACAGTGCCTATCAATCAAACAGACCATGTTTAGTAATTTGTGGGGTTTTTTATAGAAGAACAAAATTGAAGACATTAAGGAAACAATAAACAATAGACATTGTTACTGCTATTGCATAAAATATGCAAAACAGATGGAATCTTTGTGGAATACTTATAAAAATGCTTTAGAGACAATGAAATATAGCTTTATTTAAAACAATGTAACTGCCATTAGAATTAAAAATGTGTGTTCACACTGGAAATTCTAATTGGATATATGCATACATATTTTTTCTCGAGCAATATATCCTTGCTGCTGTACTGCAGTTGGCTGCACGTGTGGTATCACGTCTTGTACACTAAAATGGCTAAGACTTGAGGTAGATACCTGGCCTTTCTAAAGCACATGGCTTGCTTTGACCTCCATTACACTGGAGCCAGAATGGAATACACGTAGGGGAAGAGAAAGTAAAGGTAGTTTAGAATGTAGTGCTGATTTGAAAAAATGCAATGCTTTTTTCTCTGATAAAGGTTTAAGGTATAAGGATAGGTGGTTGGATTAACCAGTTAGCTGGACGGTTAAGATTTGAAAAGATATTTTCTATGTTTTCCAAATTAGGTTGATTAATTCTGGAGCTGTTTTTACACTCAGATTTATTTTTTTCAGTGAAGGAATAATGATAGCTGTAGGCCATTTCGGTAACGCTCTGAGGTCCAAGCCACAATCTGGGCTCTGTTGTTTTTGGTACTGAGGAAGACATGTTCTTACTTCAATGATCTACTTTCTAAACAGAAAATATGCACCAATTTTTGGAGGAGCAGTGACACAGAGAGATGAAGGGGCTGGTCCACAGTCACACAGATCTATGGCTGAGAAAAGGATAAAGGTGAGTCTCTTTGGTGCCAGTGTCCAGTGTTTAAACTGGATAAAAGTAATTTCATTACTTTTCATCTTGGCGCTTCTCATCTCAGAAAATAAGAAATTATACTGGGAAAATGCACGTGGTGGTCAGTCTAAGGTAGCTCAGCCCTACATGAGGGGATTTCACATTAAAGATACTTTTTTCACCTCTCTCTACCGATTTCAGTGTTCCCCTGTCACTCTCTCATCCCAAAGGGCACTAGGCAGTACATTTCCCCGGAGCTGCAGTGGATGACTGGTCCAACAGACACCTGATTTGACCTAAGATGTTTCTACTCTTCTGAAGTTTGTGGCTTAAGGAGACACATATGGTGATGGGAAACAGGGAGCTTATTCTTTTATACCTCAGTTCACTCCTGTGGGCCTTGCGGTCAGTCTAGCTTATCTCTGGATTTTAATGATTTAATGTAATAGAGCTACCAGATATATACCTATCAGGAACAGAGTCGACATTTTTTGTGGGACAGCTTAGGTTTGCAGATGTACTCTTTACTATATTCATACCTTTGTGACGTATTGTTCAACACAGATAAAAAAGGGCTGTATTCAGGTAAAAATGGGTAAAATCAGGGGCACTGAAACACTGAACCTCTGGCTCACTGCACCATTGGAAATAAGAAGAGAAATACTAGTGCTGAGACAATAAAGGAGTAGGTGAAACGGTGATAAAAATGTCTTAACTCCTCTGTAGTTAGCAGGACTGCAGCTCGCTCTGACTGCAAACTGCACATTTTATTTTTACTAGTGGGTACAGATCTAGTACAGGTCTATCCAAAGGTGTTTATTAACCCTCCTACACGCTAATCATTTTTTTTTTACCATTAGGATGAGATTCCTCTTTCTTCTTTGGAGAGATCTTTATATAATCTCCTCCTGTGTATACATGAGGGTGAATGTGTTTCATGTGGTGTGAATCAAAAGCAAAAACCTTGAGTGCTGAAAAAGAAGAAAAATACTGTACAAATCACAGCTCCATTACAGTCTAACATAATTTACAGTTGGGCTAATAAATGTGCTATTGGATTGCATAATTACTGTAAATTTTAAGAATATATCATTGTGTCAAATATTTCAAGAAAAATGCTATTAATATAGCATGTTTGCTTAAACCTCTAGATTTTGTTATTTTCATGCATACATTTAGCTCTCATACCTTTTACTCTTTCCATGAAAAATATAGTCTTTTATTTACCTTGCATTAAATTAGGCACTGGAAAGAATAATGTAGGTTACTTTGGGAAGAGCTATTGCTTTATTAAAAATGCATTTCTGAAAGGGACCACAAATCACAATTATAAAAAGCAAGGGATAAAATTCTCTACTGAAGTGTAGCATTTGATAAAAGCCAATTTTTGAAAAGTATATATTTTATAGTTATCTGTATTTTATAGTTATCTATCCATGCTACCAAATGCACATTGCACCATGAAATAATGATGTGTATTGTCAAAAAGCAAACAAACAAGCATCACCCCTCAGGACAAAAAATACATTAGAGGACATTGAGCTCTTTACTTGGTTCATTATAGTGCTGAGTTTCAATCACCCACAATGGGAACAAAAAAAGTCAATCAGGCCGTTTTTTAAAACCAAACCAAAACAGCAACAAACCAATCTAAAACTTGACTGATGGAGGAGTATCACTAAGCTAGACCATCTGCATTGCTTATAGCACAGCACACAAAAATAATATGAGCTATTCAATAGACCAGCTGTCAGAAAATGTTTGTCAGGACATAAGAAATAGTTTCTGTAGCTGGAGTTTTGAAAAGCTTGTAGTTTTAGAACTTGCACCATAAAAAGCAGTGAGAGAGAGAGGTAATTTCATAGGTCTTGTCACAAAATAGATGTGTGGGACATATATCTATCCTGTGGAGAATATGCTCCTGCTGAGCAATAATAGCAAAAAAAAATTAGTGCTTGGGGCCAGTTTGGAAAAGAACTCACAGAAGTTCAAATTTTGGAACAAAACTCAGCCCAAAAGGGTCAACCCTTTGAAAGAGGGATTCCTTTCCATTCTCGTTATTGGATTTTTTCTTTTTTCTTTTTTTTTTGATCCAGCTTCCTTCTGACTGGTGTCTCTACGGCCACTGATGGCAGCACGAGACTTCTCTTTCTTCTCTACCCTTAAGGCCTCAGCCCTGTGTCCACAACAGTCTCTGTCTTCATAGGGGAACGGGGAAGAAGAGGGGCTTTTTGATGAGCTCCTCCCACCATTCCAGATCTTCTGCAAACCCAGAAGTACTCTGCACTAAAATAAATCTGCTTCTACAGATTTTATGGCATGGGACAAATCACTATTTGTTTCCATCACTTTTACTAATTTAATTTCAGAAAAGGTGAGGAAAGAACAGATGAATAGCAGAGGTAGTGAAGGACTGGACTGAATTTAAAATAAGAAATCAGCTCACAAAGGATTTGGGTACATTTGGAAAAACAAAAATGAATGAGTGGCAATTGCCAAAGGAATCAGCAATGCTTTATTACAGTAGGATTTTCAGAAACGGTTGTTACTAGCCTTATACTGCTCCCATTGAAGGAACAGTAAACCTATTACTGTCAGAGGAAAACTGCTAGGAGTTGGTGTGAAGACACAGTATGTAAGGAGATGGTAGGAGAGCAAACTGGTGCAGTGGAGACTACCCAATTGTATTCCTCTGAAATTTCTCTGAAAACCAGAATATATATTCTTTGAATATAATGCCAGACAAGATCAGATTCACAAGGTTCAATCTTATTCAGAGTTCATTTACAATGCTTTCACCGAACTAAAAAAAGCCAAAAAAGGTTTATGGCGCAAATCCAATTTTCATTCTGTTGTTGTTTTTACGCATATAAGATTCATGGGATATTTTTATGTATATAAGAGGATTCACTATGATAGTGTGGCTATAATGAGGGATTGAAAGAGAATCTGAAAGGACAACTTCCCATAGCCTCTCTTTAGTTTTCTCTGGGCTCAATATTTGACAACTATGATACCTACATTGAAAGTCAGGTGTTAGTTATGAAACTCATACAAATTAACACCTACGTGTTTTATATAACACCATTTCTACTCTTTATAATTGCGTGGAAAACTCTTCAGTGTAATTCACATCTAAAGTATTCCTTAGATTTCTTTATCTTACCTATATCACTTGCATTAGCATCTAGCTGTGTTGTCTTTTTGATGTTCTGTGACATGAGAAGCGTTGCTTGTTCTGCAGTATGCATCAGTTTAGTCAGACTCATTCTTTGGTAATCTACAGGAAGAGCTTCCCAGACTGTAATTTTGTCTTTTTGTAAAAAATTGTTCACGGTGTTAACCAAAACCTGTAAAAAAGGAATATTTTAAGCATTAGAGTCATACATTATTTGTAAAAGAAGAAAAAAACCACAATTTTACGGCTTGATCCACTCACGTTAATAGTTGTATTACGAAGTGCTTCATTGTCAGGAACTGAGTAATGCATGGTATTCAGTGAAGAATAAGATAATGCTTCTACATATGAAATCACATCTACAGGTAAAAGTGGTCCTAAAGTATTCTTATTAATTTCTTGCAACATCTCCAGGGGTGTTTTTAAATGACTAATCTGAAAAACACAAGAAATCACAAGTACAGCCACAAAAACTTTCTGTAAGTGGAAGAGGAAACCCAGTACAAATGAATGAGTTCTGTGAATTAACAATAACATACTAGCTTTTGAGATGCTTATGCAGAAGAAGAGGCACTGTTTAACTGAAGAGGTCTACAAGTAAAGCAATGGTGTTACTCAAAGAGAAGAGACATGACTGATAAGACCCTAGCAAACAACTATGACAAAAAAAAAAGTCACGTGCTATCATTTGCTAAGTTTTTTTGCTATTCTTTTAACTTCTGCAGCTCAATTTTATTTATCATAATGCTGTAGAATGCACTAGTAGATGTTCTGCAACATATTTTGCAAAAATAATTAAATATCAATAATACAGAAACTCAGTCGACTCTTTTCTGATAAATTTTAGTTGAAGTGGTGGGAGCAGATGGGCAGTGTTTATTTATTTTGTTTGGATTTTTTGGCAAATGCAGCTTATAAAGCATGTAGATTAGTGAAACTCTACTGCATATTTCACCCTTACTGCTTAAAGTTTATGAAGTACTAAATTTTCTTATAAAAAATAATTAGCTTAAAAAGTAATAGGCTAGAGAGGGTGAGATGTAGACGAAGTGTTTGGCCCGTATCGCGGGTTTCAGTGTCATGGCTAAATTAGAAAAGAATTCATACTTCATAATGCTGAAATCTAATGAGATTTTATCCATCCAAAAAAAACGAGCAGTTGTTTTGGTAAGATCTGTAGTCTCTGCTGGTGAACAGCTATTGTAGGTTTTGCTTCATCTTTGATTGCATCCGAATAGAACTAGAACCCAGGCTAATAAATGGGCTAAACTATTATCAAACACTATTATTTACATAAAATGGAGGTATTTTGATTTATTACTTTGATTTAAATTTAGTTCAACTACATATTAAAAAAAGACGATCTTGTGGTATTCACCACATCTTTGGATGCAAAAATGGTAAGCAAGTTAATAAAAGGCATTATATTGTACCTTAACATAGAAAGCATATTAATATAATGTATACCTTACACTGGGTATATAAAATCTTTTCAATTAAAATCTTTCTGAATCTGGCAATTTAGGCAAGCTGCTTAATACAAAATGCAAACATATACAATTGGTTTTAATTTATTAATGCTTATGTTTCATTTATCCTTTTAAATTAGACATCATTGTAGGTGTGGACTAATGAATGGTGAATTTGTTAATTTATTTAATTTGCTTCAGGAAATCTTTGCTTCTAGTGAAAATATCTTGAGTCCTGAGTCTCTGGGTCTGTAAGTCTGTGCCAATTTATATACTATGCTTTGAGGAGTAAATATACTGGCATGCCAGGATAGTATTGCTCCATTTTCTATTTTGTCACTTGTTTACATTAGTTTTGTAAGCCATCTTTCTGGCTTTCACTCTGAACAAGCAAATAATTGCACATCAGTAAATGCAGCAATGTATAACTTCAGAAATTACAGAAACAGTTGAGTGATTACCACACTTCTGAATTTTTCATGCATCATGACTTACTTTGCCAGAAATACAAAACATACATTCCCAGAAAGTTATTACAATGATTTGAACACATAACTGATGTCACATTATTTGGAATTATTAAAAAAGACTTCTGTAAACATGCTTAAGTTCAATTGTATGCTTGAAGCATTTGTTAAAAGCTCCTTAAGAGCTGTTATAATTGAAATAACAGTTTCAAACAGAAACAATTAAAGGATTTGCAAATTAATCTATAAACCAATGCTACTTACTCCAGCTAAAGTTCTATTAATATGTTCAGTTATACAGTCTTTGTATAACTCACACTTGGCCTTCGGATTTTCTGTAGAAATTAAAAACAAACTGATTATTTTAAGTTCAATTCAATATTCAATATATGCTCATTATAAGAGCTCTTGCTTAAGTAATTCCCCAAACCACCAGCATTCTGAATTTATGCACATAAGATGCAGCACTCCAATCTCGAACCTCAACTACAAAGACCTTATCTTGACCACAGTTACTGTTTGCATAGTATTGAAACACCAATGAACTGGATTAGAGTATTTTTATTATGTCTTTGGTAGAGTTTGGCCCCTTTTTTGGGGACGTCTACCAGGGGAGTCAAGAGAAGGTTTGGATTTACAGAGTGGAACACACATCCAAACAACTATGAGGAGGTATCCATTTTTCAGAATGGATTTCATCACACTGTTTAGCAAAAATACATTTTTAAAAGCATTATATTCTGAGAAAATGTAGATGTGACTACCTTGCCTCTTTTCATGTCTTGCTGATTAATCTAACTGAAAACAAAGAGACACTGGAGGGTTTCTTAGAAGATGTAGCTCTATAATGACACATAAACCGTTATACTACCATATACCTTGGCAGGAAGTGCCATCATTTGGCTTAAACTGCAATTTTCCTGTGGATGGTTGATAACCTTCCTTACAGGCGCAGTTATACCCTCCATCCACGTTTTCACATTTTGCATGATCTCCACAGGCAACAGTTCCTTCTTTGCTGCACTCATCTACATCTGCAAATATCGTGAGAAATTGAATTTTTTATTAAGTATTTACAGACTAACACCTTGCTGCTTTGTTGATAATAGCCCTGCACACTGCAAGCAATTTCACAATAAAATTTCATGAAAGAAAAAAAAGGCAAAAACCTAAAAAGGCAAACTTAATGGCAAAATATCTGCCAATTATATTGCTTAGGGATTAGCAGGATAAATCATAAATGCTAATGTTTTTATAACACTACTTTTATTACTATATAATATTGTATTGTTCATGTTTTAAAAGCATGAGTTTAAATATTAATTTTATCATAACAAAATACTTGGCGTGATGCAAATCATCTGAAATCCATTTTCCAGAGATTAGACTAAATAGATTTTCTCAGCCTTACTATTCAGTTAGAAAAGAGAAAGAAGACTGCAGCCTTTTCTTTTAAGTCACAGCTTTAAAAAGATACTTCAAAAGATCATTCTATCCATCTGGTAAATCTAAGATTTAAGTTCCTTTAAAGTGCTTGGCATGTCTTTTCTTTTAATCCAGTTAAATTACATTTGCCTAAAATGACTTTCGTCCTTCTAAATAATTGGCTGTTTCCAGCCATCTACCAATGGTTTCCGTAACTGGGTGGGGCACAGTCTAAGAGTAAAAATGATGAATTCCAGTAAAGGAATTCATGAATCGATCAATTTAGTTGGGCAGGGCACTAACTCCCTGGCTGGAGGGGGGAATATTTTGCATAATTTGCTTGGCTGAAGATAGAGATCAAATAACTCAATAGATTCACTGGAGAAAGTAAATCGGGGAAAATACCAAAGAATTCTGAAGAACAGAGCAATAGGCTGTGAAATGCTGTGCTGGAAAGGCAAAAAGAAAGCGAACAGGTTTGTGGTAGGTATATCTGAAAAAAGAACAGAAGAACAGAGAAATGATATATGAGTAGATTTAAATGAACAGTATGAACTGGGATGACAATGAATTCAGGAAAGAAACAGGGGCAAAAGCAGGCCTATGCACTGATTATTGGAAGAGAATAGCTAGCTGAATGGACAGGAGTGCTTTGAGCAGCCAGAAGGGATTTAAGAACATTCAAACAAAAAACAGATATAGGGGGTTGGAAATGCACCTTTAGCATACAGGAACCATTTTTGTACCCTTATTTTGACACAAGATTGCTGGTGATTTTGGAAATGGGATAAGACAAAAATAGGTAATAATGTATAAGAAATGTGGAAAAGTGTGGAAGAACAGAAATACATACTGCATGTCTGTGGATATATCTAGGGACTATAGAAAGATGTCTGAAGGATACCTGAGGGCCCTATGACTTTTTGGAAAGCATAGTTTGATACATTAAGTAGAATATTCTTTACTAATGGCAAGAGAGCCTCCTTACATAATCGAATGAATGCTTTCTTTTCCTTTTCCTTTTCCTTTTCTTTTCTTTTCTTTTCTTTTTTTTTCTTTTCTTTTTTTTTTTTTTTTGCAACTGTAAACTGCATTTGAACATTTAGTGGAGCATCCCAAAAACTTCTGCATCCACACAGTTTTTGATTGTTCTGCACTTCATTGTACAGCTTCCCTTCTTCTGCTTGTAATGCTAGAGGCCTTCTTAGGGGTCAAGGAAATGGCTGAGGTTTGACCCCTATCTTTCACATGCCTCTTTGCCTCACTGAGCAGCGGCTTCAATTTTCACCTGAAAAGCTGCATTTTAAATGGGAGGTTCAGAAGGTCCAGTCAAAAAGCAGGTAAAAATGCAGGCACAGTGAAGGCGAGGAAGGGAGGTGCGTTTCAACCTTACTTGCCACCCCAAACACAGCCATCTCTGCTCTTCATGAGGTTAAATGACCATTATCTGCATTAAGATGATAGTTTTTTCCCCTTATTTAATTCCCAGAGCTGTAGATGTTCTTTAATGAACTGAGGTTTGCATCATCCATATTTGTATAGTTTCTGTGACCTCAGTAGACATAGTCATGGTGTTAACCATATTATACGTCAACGAATCTGGCAAAAGTGAAGAGGGGAAAAAAGTGATACAGTGCTACACACAGGCTGACTCATAATAAAATGCTATTATTTATAGACTTAAGGCCAAAGTTCCTACTCTTGGCATTTAAATAACCTCTCACATCATCAAACTGTATAGCTCTTTCTGAAACAAGTAGGTGCCTTTCAGTACCCTGTTGTATGACTCAATGTAACACAATCAAACTTTGATTGAATTGAAGCGCCAAGGGTGAAAAACATGACAATACCAGTTTGCATAACAAGAACACACATCAGCCTTATGCCAGAGATTTCTTTGGCATTGTCAGCTACACAGATAAGGACATATATGTCTCAGCAAGATATTCAGTATGTAACACAGTACTAAAACGCCCGTAAATGACAACAAGCTTTGCTAAAACTTACAATGACTTATAAATATATAAATATTTGAATACATTCCAGATTATCATTGCTAAGTATCAGGTTGCCATGTGATTTACTGTTGCAAGTATTTCAAAATTATTACGATAATTTGCTTTTCATGAACCTAGTTTAATAAATCATTTATTTGTCATTATTGGGCATTCATACAAATTACCCTTCTCTTTTGTAATTATGTCACATATTAAGTGTAATGGAGATTTTAATGAGAAGTAGGATTATCCAAAACAACAGCAGAAACTCAAGCACCAAGGCACATCTCTGGCAACAGGATGCCTATTTAAAGTCTGATAGAGACACCCTGTTGAGTATATGCAAATAGACTTTCTGCAGTTAAGTTGTCCATATGGAATGAGTCCACATCACGCCTATCTAATTTACTGTTTCCTGGAGAAGAAATCTCCTGGATGACAAAATTAAAAAGCAATGTGCCTGATCTTGCAAGATACTAATCAGCTGCATATCCCTTTTAAATCAATGAGACTTTCAAGGACAGTCAACAATTTGTGGCAGTAGCAAGAATGCTCCTTTTAAGTTCCTGCTTTGAAATAATTCGTGCAGTAGCTGTAGTTTTTTGTTTCTTTATTTTTTTGTAGTTATTCCTTTTTAAATGAATATGCAATTGTTGGACCACACACGGACAACAGCTTGTCAGCGCTTTCAGCAATCCAATTTGATTGGAGCTTTGGGGTTGGTATCTTAAACCACCCTCCTTCATCTACTGTGGTTGCACAGAGAAGATTCCTGAGCAAAGGTTGAAGGATAGCAGCTTTTTAAACAGAAGAGCATTAGCCATAGCTCTGCAAGAAACTGGCCTCTTAGTAAAATGTTCAAAACAAATCCTGGAGTTGGACTTTGAAGCTTTTATAATAGCTCTGATCAGAAAAACAATATCACCGACACCACTTAGGCCAGTGTGAAAAAAGATTTATAACCTTTTATTTTATTTCTGTGCTTTGTCATTCCTCATTTACTGCAGCGGGCCAGGAAATTCCAATTAATATAAAAATACTGAGAACAGTTATTATGCTCAGTCTTGCCAATTACTGGATTTTACCTACATCGCTTTGATTCTTCAGCAGTCAGTCAAGACAGCTTGATAGCTACACTATACCTTTTGCTTATTAGTAGCTTGCGAGTGATTGAAAAGTCCAATTGCAAAGGACTAGATGTTCCCTCCCAGTGTCTCCATACTGTGGGAGGCAGCAGCATAAGCAAAGTAGAAATGAAAAGCCTAAGAACGGCAGAGGTAAAAAAATCTAGCAGTATGGCATAATGTCATATCCCATCCACTACAACTACAACACTCTCTCATCACAGAAAAGTATGTGACAGAGAATGGGCGTCCTCCCACTATTCTCAGAAGAAGCTGGGAAAAACCTGAAGATAACTAATAGCCTGTTTCTGGAAAGGGCAGAGTGCCACGGATGTCACTTTCATTTTAGAGATGGCCATTTTCACATTTTAACTCTGTAGATTGGGGGGGGGGAAGTAGATTTGTATTTCACCTTTTTATCTGCAGCAGAACATTCAATAAAATGTGAAGTCTAAGGATAAACCATGGCTTTCGCACAGTAAGTAGATCTTAGTATCTCACATTCAGAACAGCAGAAAAATGTCGTCATCTTCAGAACTATCATACCTCTGCATTTCTCTTTTTCTCCATCTCCTTTCTCTTTCCGTCTTTTTCCCTCTCTTCCCTTCTACTCTCCTGTTCTACCTCTATCTTGCCATCTCTTCCTCAATTCCATTGGAGAAGATGATGAAATAATGCCAACCCTCACCTCAAGAGTTAACATCTTGGTTGGAGTAAGGGGGAACTGACATTTCCCAGACCTACTATCTCAAGCTTTATTGGCATCTAGGGTTTTGTGTGTTATACTCACTTCATATTTGGAAGATTAATATAACATCCAAACAGGAGAGAAACACACACACGCATACACATAGAGTTTGAAATGGACTCACACACACAATGATCCACCACACAGCACCACTTGAAACTCCACATAGGTTTGATGGCATTTGTCTAAAAACAAATAGGTTGCATAATGGTACTTTCCACATTTCAATCACTGTATTTTTCAATATCTGCTGACACACACATACATACACACGTTAAAATAATAAATATATATAATATATGCATTATATATATATAAAATAAAGAAAGCCTAAGACTACGCAGAATTAGGAAAAAAATTGGGACCTATAAACTTGTGTGGGATGCCTGCTTGGTAGTTCTGTCCTCTGATTTGTACAGGGTACCTTCCACTATGATTATCATGGAAGCTTTGGTGTTTGCTTCAGTTGTGTATAGCACAACTTGAATATACTACTAGCAGATGCCCATGTAAAAGTCGTATCATCTACCTGTAGCAACAGATCCACTGAGTACAAAATATTCTGTTACGGTTATCTGGCAGATAAAGTGGAAGATTAATTGTAGATCAAAAGGTTGTCTTTAGGACTTTGCTTGGTAAAGTAACGTCTAATGAGAAAAGGTTTAATGAGATGAGAACATGTAAACACATGTTCAATGAGAAGAAGGGCCCACAGGTAGTTTTTTTTTTTTTTTTTTTGGTCAGTGTGACTTTTGGAAGCCCTCCGGTCCTCCCATAAAAACTTGCCAAAAAAGGAGAAGTGATGAACTAACCCCCAGCAGAGGATAAAAATGAACCAATCTGTCCAATAGAGGAAAGAGGGAAATATAAGAGATTAGCAAGCTAATGGTAAAAAGCTAAAGTGACTCAAGGAACGGTCAGAGAAATAACTTTGAAGACAAAACTTCTGAAACTGAGAAAATGTCATAACTGGTAAAAATCAAAGCTTGGATGAGAACCATGAGAATATTTACAGCTCAGTGTGCTAACAGTCTCAATCCCAGCTAATTTAAGAACGATTCATAGCAGCTGGGTAAAGCAGAGCTCTTTTAGATGGATGTGAGCAATGGGCAAGAAATGTTGATTAGATCATTTTCTGGCTTAATATGCAGCCATTCTGCTGATATTAAGAGCAGTAAGAAGAGAGGTTGTCAGCACTCACAAGCTCACAGGAAACATATCTAGAATGAGACACAGTCAGCACAAAGGTGTAAAGGGCAATAGATTTATTTCTCATTTTCCCATTCCCTGAGGACTATTGCAACATACAGAAAAAAATTACCAGGGGTTTGAGAAAAGAGAAATAGTTACAGTTCTTCCATTGAAATAAAATCCTGAAGGCTTGCATGGTTGTTCAGAAATAATATTTTCCCCAATAACTTTTCCTCCCCTGTAATCTTGAACATGATCCATCCAACTGCAATGGGAACAGAACCTAATGGATGGCACAGAAGGTAGGAAGGCTGCTGACCTTGCTCATTGCTTTTGATCAAACTTAAAGAATTACAAAAAATATCCAAACCAAAGCCCCCAATCAAAAGATATTTGGAGCACAGTAGGTCAAATGTGTGGATTTTGCTGTTCCAGAACCACCTGAATGCCTCTTTGTCATTCCTCTTTGTTTTGAGAATATGACCACCTTGCTCATAGTTCAGGGAAACAGTGGCATACATGGGTGGATTGGGGGTTACTGTTTTAACTTAACTATATATTCATTGTCTAAAACAGTGATGTGGATTAATACTATTGCATGTGGCACAAAGATTCATGCCACGTGTATTGCTTCATTATTAAGATTTCATTACTGAAATCAATGGCAGCTGCAGTGTTATCAGTGAGAAACGTAGACCTGAACTGGAATATTAAATCTATACCAGTCTGGAATTTCACCAGACAGGAATTTCATATCCAGACTCCAAACTTCACAAATCTGAATGTAGCTTACTAGATTGCTATAATTAATAGAAGCAATAAGAGTGACAATTTAAAGCTAGTTGCCAGACATTAATAACTTACCCACACACGAGGTTCCATCATTAGGCACAAAACTTTGTTGACCGTTGCTGGATTTGAAACCAGGGGCACACATGCAGAAATAACTTCCCACAGTGTTTGTGCAGTTGGCATTCTCTCCACAAGGCTGAGTAGCATTTTCACATTCATTATCATCTGTCAATACATAAATTATGGAGAAATATATTTACATTTGCCAATTGAAGAAAACAATGAAGTAAAAGCTTAATTTGGCCTTGAGCATTTTTTTATTTCTGTGAGTTTAGAATGCTGAGCTAACACTCTCAGTATTTGCGCACACAAGTTTCCCTTTGACAGGGAAGTAATCAGGTGTTCAGCAGCACTCCTTTGCCCTCCTTCTGCACGAGTCAACACACCAGAAGAAAACCGACATGATACCGATATGGATGATGTAACGTGATATTCATTTGGAAGAAGGGATCAAGTCATATCTATGTTTTGTTATGCTTGTATTTGGTAATCTTTTTGGTACCTACCCGGTCTTCACAAATCTACAGATAGAGACTAGCCCTGAGGACACAGCTGGGAATTCAGAATCATAGAAAATAGGGCCCAGAGGGACATCAAAAAGTCACCTATTTCATTTCCCAATACTAAAGCAGGATCAATATAGCTAAACTGACAGATATTTATCTAGCCTGTTCTTGAAGATCTCCTGTGGCATTTCTAAGCATTCCCAGCAGGACACTGTTAGACAGTTTGTCCTGCTATCTGACCTGAATCTTCAAACATATTACTGTTTTTCTTATATCCTTTCTTCTTAAGGGATAACTAATGACAACAAACAGATGAGCAAGATTCATGGCTTGATCTTTACCTCTCATAGATTGCTGTGTGAGTGATCAATTTTGTACCTACAAAGTTACAAGATCTATTTCACAGGGCTAATCCCATGTCTCCAGTGACAGAAGAAAGAAGGAGCTATGCATGCAAGTTTTAACATTACTTTCTCTCTGTAGGGTCTCTCCATCTGCTCTTACTGGGAGAGTGAGGATCTAGGTAGTTTGATGAAAGGTCAAATGAAATCATGATTTCATGCATTATACTGTATAGTCAATCTTCTGCAATGAGTCAATAAAATTGTTTTCTCTCTAGAATCTTCCAAGATCCCTGCAAGTCTATTAAATAATTATGACCAAACTTGAGAAAAAATTCAAAAGCTGCCTTATCCAGAAACTTTACTTATTAGACTGAGAATAACATTCATGATACTGATACTTCAATCTTTCCAATAGCCCATCTGTTCCCAAAGCACCCCGAGACTCTGAAGCAAACAAATCAACTAACAAAACTCTCCCAAACAAGAAGACATTTTCTGAGCAGAGGTCTTTATTTTCTTTATTCTGAGAAGGGAAGGGTGTTAAAGGCTTCCTGAAGCCTACTGGGATTTTATTCTTGTTCTTCAGCAGAAGGTACTCAGGACATGATAAATGACAGGAAAGAATTCTAACAGGGAGAGATATAACAATTTATCGCAAAAGACGAACAATTAAGAAGCATGACAGGGAGAAGAAATATGATTTCAGAAGATGTCCATGGATGAGTTTCAGAAAGGTGCTTCTGCTTCCCGATGGCCAGTGTTCTCATAAGGTGTTTGCAGAGACAGGATATAGATAACTATAATGTCACGTGAGTTAAGGAACTGGTAAAAATAAAATACACCAAGAGCTGTAAAGTATAGCAGGAGTACATTTCTGCAGTATAACCTACCGTTGACCCCAGAATAATTCTGGCACAGTGCATTTGTCAAGATTATACATCTGATGTGTTTTTGCATGTTACTCTGTTGACTCAGAGATGCAAATATCAATTCAGAATTGCAATTTTTCTCAGGGGAATTTAGGTCAACAGTATCAAATGGATTACACTGATTATAACTAAAACTGAATATAATTTAAGAGGATCCAAGTGTGAAAGCACTTTGCCCACACATGCCAACAATATTTATTTTTACAGCTTTGGTTTTCATGAGAAAACAGTGGAGAAGGTGTATGATTTGGATCTTACTTAGAGAATGCCAAGGAAAACCCAGATTAACTTCAGTGAAATCATGGATGGGGGCAGGGGGAAGTGACAGGAATCCAAGTCGAGAAGATGAGCCCAGGAAAATGACCAATCCTGTCTAGCAGGTGGCAGTCGAGGGACCAGGCCCCAGAACATTTTGCAGATCCTTGCAGTGAGTTCCATTTGACTGAATGTCATTTTTTGTGTGTTTGACCGTATTGCAATCCCAATTTCCTCTAGGAAATTCATCAAGAAAAAGACTGGACGATCTTGTGTTAGCTGCTATCTTGGTCTTGGGAAAGTATTGCAGTTCCTAGAAAACAATATGCACTGACTTTGGAAAGCACATGGAATAGAAGCCATGGAAGATCAGAAACGGAATGACACTGCAGGACTTCATTCAATAACAGCTGAGGAGATAAAAGCTACAGGCTTATGCAAGTAGAAAACCAAAATTCTTGCTTTTGGTTTGTTTTCTAGGAGCTCAAATATAAGAATTGCAGTCCTCAAAATCCAGAATTATTACCATTCTCAGGTGGCCCAAAGCATTCATAAACATTATTAAAATGACTCATGTGGTGATCATTAATAAAATCTTTAGTTTTGCCTAATTAACTTTACTGGGTTACTGTTGGTTTTACACACATTTAGGGTGTCTATAAAGTTTTTAATGGTGACTACATTATCTTAGAAGGCTTGCCTTCTCTGAGAACCTATAGGAAAGTTTTCTGACTCCCTTTCCTTTTCTGAGAGGAAACAAATGTCTTTTATAGCTAGCTCACAAGACTAGCTTGTTTTCAGTCACCTGGCCTGACGGGCTAAATCAGCAAGAAATTTGAGACTGCATGCACCAGACGGACTGCAGGAACTTCTCTCACTGACTTTTGTTCAAATGTAGCCTACACATAACAAGTAACAAAATATTTGGTTAGTCCGTTCCACCAAGCACTGACTTGGGGTCTTTTGTAAGTTGTTTTTCAATCCTAAATAGTATAGGTGGAAGAAGTGGAATAGAGACAAGAACAGCAATTATGCATGTGCACCAGATAAAACACAGGGATGAATCTGCATATAGTAAAAAAAGTTAAGCACTTGCTTAACCGCTTCACTGGCTCGAAACCAAAGAATTGGGCAGGATTAGCATTTTTAAGGGGGAAACGCAATGGTTCATTCTGCAGTGCTCTCATTAAAAACTACGGATCACTGTTTCTTGTCATGTTAAGGGCTTTTTCTCTATTTTATAGCTAATATGTTCATTGTACAAGAGCAACAATTAGGCACAGTGCTAGAAACAGAAGATATGTTCAAATTATCCCATTTAGGATATCTAGACAAATGCAATAAAGAAAACAGCCCCTTTTAAATTAAGAAATATGGAAATGTATAAAGTGAGTGTAAATTGCATCACACTCAAAAATGGCAGAAATTGTACCCCATTTCACAATACTGATGATATGGTGCTTAAAACAACAGAAAATTAAATTCAGCATATGTTTACTATGGTATATTATTCCCAGACACTAACTGTACTGTCAAAGATGCACAGTATAATAATTTGAAAGACCTCCAGAACATTTAAGAAGAGAAGTATTAACTTACATAGCAAATACAAGAATGGATATTTTAAACAGTTAAATTCATAAAGAACTTTCATTTCACTGTTCCCATGGTTTAATATAATACTGAGAAGACCATATCAGGGTATAACTTACTGGATCATATCCTTCTCCTATTGAAATTAATGGCATAAAAGTCACTGGCATGAATAGGCCCAGGGTGGTGTCCATTATGGAAAACTACTGGGTTAGTGAGAAAGGCAAGTGAGGAACAAGTTTTTGAGAAAAAAAGTTCTCTATATACTTTGACTAGATGCGCTTAAATAATTTGCCTGGCTTCACTTGTAAAAATATTTTACGAGGTTAATAATGATGACAAAAATATTTTAAAGTTCTTTATATAGTCAACACCTTGAACTGTTGCATGAAGAAAAATTCAAGTGTGAAGCCCAGGGGTTTAAAGATATTTTCCAGCTTCTCACATAATTTATAATATTATTGGATTTGTGGTTTAAGGGGAGTCAGGAAAAAAAAATCAGGATTTAAAGATGGGAAATTTTGTATCAAATGTTTTTCCACAGATACAGAGAGGATAGTGTAAATGACAGCAAGTGTATAATCTTTGCTGCTTTGCTGCTACCCAATTTAATTATGGTACGTGCATTCACTGCTGGCAGAGATGCCCATTGAACACGGCAGGCAGTATTTCAGAAATGCACACACCTTTAAACTTTTCTTCTTTTTTCAGTTACTGATGAAAAATTCAGAGACTTTTAGAAACGAGACTGGCCAAACGACAAGGTTAATTATTGTGCCTAAATGGTAATGTTGCATTCACATCTACTTGATAGACATCTGCTGAATAGCTGATTTGTCTTAAAAACTCTCTCTTTTTTAAAATGGCCCTATCTGATTTGCCCTAAAAATCTTATCATTAAAAATCATGGGAGGAAACTTATGAATACTGTCATAGGAAATCTGCATTAAATAGCCCGAAGAAAGGTGGATATGGGGATATGTTGGTGGCTGCATGTGAATATGGTAGTATGTTTACTTGATACAGGTGTAAATTAAACTGATTCTCCATCCTTACCTTGAAAATGCAACCTACTATGTATTTTGCTGTGCATAAATGCATTTATGGTGAGACAAAATCAGTTATTAATTGCATATAACCATTTCTTTGGTAGTTTCTAGAAAATGTATAAGGACATTCTAAAACAAAAACATCTGAAGGGCTGATGTACTGCTTTTCATACTGGTTTTTGAATTGACAGGGTAGTATTTCTCTCTTAAAACTGCATGTGTTCATTCATCTGGGAAGAGAATTTTGGTTTAGAATTGAGCAACCTGACTCAGAAATTCAAACTTAAATGTAGTCTTCTCGAACCACAGAGGACCATGAATTGGGTCCTGTGTTTGCATAAACATTTTTTTTACATTGGGTAACATTGTTCACTATGAAATAAAATCTGTTTCAATTTTGTTTAGCATCGATATAAAACATTTTTGTAAAAAGAACATTCTTTTTTAAAGAAATTTTAAGTCATATATGAAATGCAAGATGTAGCTCAA